AAAATGTCTCTCCGGAAACATATATACATCAGAGTTAAATAGCAGAGTACTTAAAGTAGGGAGTGTTAGGGAAAATTGCCTTCCTTTTGCTCCCTAATTATTAAATAATTTTTACGAAACAAAAATGTCACTCCATCCTTTAAAGACAAACCAAACCATACCATATTAAGGTTTTAGGTTGAGTGGGAGGAGATTTCCACATGTGTAAAACTTGAATAAGAAGGAAGCAAGAGAAGGGTGATCTGGTTGTTATGGATTTTCCTCCTCAATCTCAGGTTGGGGTCCACCAGAAATCGGTTCCGGCCAGAACCCCGATTTTTTAAAGTTCCTGTTCCGGCCGGAACCTGCACCGGAACTCTGTTATTTTCAGAGAGATAGAATATCAAACGTTTTCGTGTCTAACAAAAGTTCACAGTAGGAAGAAATTTGGACTACACGAGGAACATTTTTCAATCTTTTTATTCCATTTGCACACAATCTCCTTGATGACTTGAAGTATCTGACTGTCTGGCAGCAGACAAAGTAACGTATGACTATATATGGCTCAATAAATCAGTTCTGGTTCCAGCCAGAACTTTTTTCCAGTTCCGGCAAGAATTTAAGAAATTGGTTCTGGTGCACCCCTAATCTCATGACCTAAATCCTATTGAGAATTTATGGGAACATTTGCAATGAGAGAAACTGAAACATGATCTCCACAGTGAAGACAACCTGTGGGATGTCTTTATTAATCAATGCTGGAATAAGATTAAGCCAACAGTACTGGAACACTTGTTGAATCTAAGCCAGAAAGAGTTAAACCTATTTTAAAATCAAACAGGGGTCACACAAAATAATGTTCACTTGGCTAATATAATATAATATAATATAATGAATTCCAACATTGATGTAAAATTGTAAATCCTACATTGATGTAGATATAGTGCTGTGTTGTGGGAAAATATATTGTATATCAATAAAAGGCAAGAGAATATTGACTTGACTTTTATAACCCTTGTGAATATAACTATCCAGTTTGACATATCTTGTATAATTACTCCTTAGGTACAAATAGGTGATACTTGGGCAAGCAGTCCACAGTCGATCAGAAAAATTGTCATGTGCGAGACATACATCAAAGTTAAATATCAAAATAGTTAAGTAGGTAGTGTTAGGGAAAATTGCATCTAAATATGTCAACATGAAACATGGGCAGTCTAACTAGACACTTCCCGTGACAAATAAAATTGTCCGGCATTAGAGAAGATAATATTTAACAAACTGCTGCAAATTGGCTCATAGGTATAATTAAAAAAAAAATGCTCAACACCCTTGCCAAGGTGTCTGTAAAATATATAAAATGTAGCCCATAGTTGTTACATATATTATTAAGCAGATCATGCAAGTGGTGTAACTAAATATACTCATAAGTTTGAACAAGCAAACTAAGGACTTTAACTGTCTTCAGTACACATCTATGAATCAAGTTGCCACACAACACATCATATTGACGTTTTAATCTAAGCGGACGCACTTATACAGAGGTTTCACTTTTAAAACTCCTCCCCGGGGCAAATAAATATCATGACGGGCAAGCAGAGGAGGTTGGACAGCTAATTAGCAAGTTGTCACGTGAGCTCTCGACCAATGAAATCGCTCTATTTTCCATCGTGTTATCTGTAGAATTTGGACAGAAAAATTTGCATTCGACGGAAAATAAATCGGAAAAATATTTTAATATTAAAAGTTTCTTGCAAAATCTCAAGTGGTGTAGTACTACTACTAAAGATCTGGTGATATTTGCAAAAATCTCTGAGATAAACTTTATTTTCAATGTTGCTTTGATGTTTGAAGTTAGTCGACTCCCCGCGACGTGCTGACTCAAGTCTAAATATGTTTACAATGTTTAAAATGAAATATCTAGAATCCCATATGGTTCGATTTTCTTCATTTTGGTAGACAAAAGTATAAGCTTTAAATCTGCTGGAATGATCCCGGTGATCCCCCGGCAGTTTTCGAGATATTGACCGTTGAAGTGACTACTGTCAACTCGATGTTCGCTAAAATGGCGTCTAATACCGTTGAAAGAATATTTTCGCCATCAAAGATGATATTTTCAATCAATTTTTGTTAAAGTGCTAAAATATTATTTAGAAGACTTAGGAGTTGTTTTAATATTTTTGTAGAATTTATATCTGTGCGATTTTCAAAGTTTTGTTGTCTTTGGCCGACGCGACTGGATCGTGTACGTATTTCAAGACGAGCTGATCGCCTGATCCTGGGCTTTTTGTGGCAAATCAACCTGCGGAATCCTCAGCATGGACAAATTAGTGTCATAACAGCCCGTATTTCAAACCAGCAGAGAGCTCCACTTGTTTTGAAACAATAAAACAAGTTTTTATTGTGTTATCATATGTATCATATACGAGATCATATATAAACAAATTAAGGGGTGGTCATTATTTATGTTGGGGTGGTAAATGGGGAGAATAAGGATTAAAAACTTTTTTGACCCCTCCAGATTGAAGGCAAACTTTTTGTGCCTCCTCATAAAAGTCGAAACTTTTCTGAACCCCTCCCCCCAGTGTGGATTGAAAAATTAACAGCAACGAAACAGGTGTGCATTGCAGGTAAAGTTATAGGACAATCTGTTTAAATCTTGTTCATGATGTTTTACCCTGGTGAATATGATTCAACCATATATGATTAAAAAATATTTATTATGCGTTACTACTGCAATGCAACACTTGTCCGACCATAATCCTAACCCATGGCCCGTCTTCATACAGCGAAATGATTTGAGCACAGGGCTTTTTTTATGAACTTGTCTTGGGGGGTGGGCATCTACAAAAAGGGACCATATTATACTGAGTGTGGAGAGATGACAGATGGTTGTTGGTAACAAAAAGTTTGGTGTGGTATTGTATGTATTAGTAGGGGGGTCTGGGGAAAATGGTTTCAGTGTATTTTTCCCTAGGATTGAAATGTGAGCATTTTCTGAAACAGATTTTTGGATATACAGTGTTACATTGTGCTTTGTTAGACCGAATCTGATCAGTTAAGTGCTCTTGCATGGTATGTTTATGTAAATACCACAACTGGGACACTCAGGGGGTAGGAAGCTTGTTAAACTTAGTGGGCCCCACTCCCATGAGGCGCTACCATGGTTGGCACTGAGCAATTTTGAGTCTCTAGATCATTGGAAATTGCATTTTGAGAGTCATCTTTTTTGCTATTTGTGATTATAGAAATCAGAACTCTAGACATGGTATTTAAGTTCAAAAACTTTTTTGACCCCCCCCCCCTTTCTCTGCGTTAAAACATTTTTGACCCCCTATTTATAAGGGTAACACTTTGTTTGCCCTCCCATTCCCCCCATAAATAATGATCACTCCCTAAGTGGCATGTTGTTGTTGGGATCTCAGATTAATTTAATAAATATATAAATAGACATCTACAATATGTAAATTGCATCTATTTTAATTGGAAAAAATACTCACAAAGTAGGTCAAGTGTATGGATAAATTATTCATTTACTAAAGTACATTTTTACAGTTATTCATGTACTTAGTCTTATTTGCATGAGTGTACAAGACAGATTGTTTTAATTAGATATACCGAGTTATCATTTATAACATATGGTTTGTTTGAAAATGCTGGAAAAAACAAAAGTTAGCCAATTGAAATAAATGCACTAGTAACTAAGACGCGTAGCTCCACTCGTAAAGCAAAGCATTCCTCGTCTGGAGTTAGAGCAGAGCAGCACGTGACGACTAATTTAAGTCGGCGACGACCTGCACAAAATTTCCAGCAGAATAAACATCGGAATTTCCGAACAAACGAAATAATTTTCCTTTCAGCATCATCACTTGTGACTATTGTAAGTGTAAGGGACACACGATGTCAGATTGCTACAGAAATCCACAAAATCAAACAAAACCAACCGGCGTTATTTCAACACCAGACAACAACACAACATCTGTTTTTGATAGTTATAATGCTAGTGATACTCAAGAGGATTTAATAGAGGTCAAAGCCAATGCTGACCCTATAATGAAGATATTTGAACCATTTGTAAATACGGATAGTGTTTCACTTTTGAACAATCCAACACAATTTATTCCTGTTCAAGTATTACGCGATACTGGAGCGTCTCAATCCTTAATACTGACGAACACATTGCCATTTTCTGCGGAATCATATTCCTGAAACAATTTTTGATAAAAGGAGTTCACTCCAGCGATTATAGTTCAGTTCCTTTGGACAACATTCAACTGCACTCAGATTTAGTCTTCAGAGAAGTTTCGATAGGTATCATCGATACGTTGCCTTTCGATAGAATACAATTGTTATTAGGCAACGATCTTGCGGGTTAAAAAGTGACAGTCAATCCAATAGTCACAAACAAACCATGCTCAACATCAATTTCCGACCTTATTGAACAAGAAATTCCAAATTTATATCCATCGATCACGAGAGCAATGATAAAACAACAAAAATTAGAGAATTATAAAACAGATAAACTTGATCCTATGATTTGTCCGATACTTTTCTTAGACAGTTATTTGATAGTGGCCCTAAAACAACACAGATTATGAAAAACGATGCGATAGACACAAAAAGTTTGTCAACATCTAATCTCATTCACGAGCAAAATAATGATCCCGAAATAGCTCTTCTAATCCAATAAGCTTTCGATGAAAGAGAAATTTCAGACCAGGCAATGAGATAATTATCAAAAACGATATTTTAATGCGGAAATGGCGACCACCTGATGTCAGTGTTGATGACGAATGGTCAGTTCGATACCAAATTGTTATCCCAAAACCTTACCGTGAGGAAGTCTTACGTTTAGCACACGAAACACCCCTTTCAGGTCATTTGGGGATAAACACAACCTATGAGAAAAGCATACGACATTTAAAACCATCATAAAACCAATTCCAGCTTTTGAACAACCATTTATTAAACCGAATTATGACTGATTGCATCGGACCATAACCTAAAAATAAGCGAGGTAACCAATATTTATTGACAACTATGTGTGTTTCGACACGTTTTCCTGAAGCAATACCACTTCGAAATATCAAGGCTAAAACCATTGTACAAGCACTTACAATGTTTTTCACTTTAGTTGGTCTTCCAAAATCCATCCAGTCTGACCAAGGTTCAAATTTCATGTCAGGGTTGTTTCAACAAGTTATGCACGAACTGGGTATTAAACAATACAACTTGTCAGCCTATTATCCAGAAAGTCAAGGTGCTCTAGAAAGGTTTCACCAAACATTGAAGCAAATGATTAAGACATATTGTTTTGAAACTGAGAAAGATTGGGACAATGGCGTCCATTTCCTTTTGTTCGCGGCTCGTGAGTTAGTTCAAGAATCATTAGGGTTTAGTTTCACACGCTTCGGGGACCGCTCAAGCTTTTAAAGGAAAAGTTACTTACCGACGACAGTTGTTCATTGAATCTTTTAAA